AGGGCCCCCTGACTTCTTTCCTGTGGGGGAGCCCCCCTTTATCTCAGAGAGAGCAGGAAATCCCGTCACCATCAGGTTTGCAGTCCCCACAGGACTGACCACTGAGCTCCCTCCTAGCCTCCCTTTTCACATGTAGACTAGGAAGAGGGTTGGAGCACTGGGTGCTGGTGGCAGGGTAGTTCTGCCTCCCTGAAAAAGGTCCCTGCACTGTTGTTGGTGGCTTGTTTTGGAATGTACTTGGCACCTCTTTGTCCTCAGCTTTGGCCATCAGAAGTCTCCTTCGGGGCCGACCCTGTGGCTCCCTCGGGAGAGTGTGGTGCTGGGAGCGCCAGAGGACGCGGGTTCGGATCCTATATAGGGATGGCCAGTGCACTCACTGGCTGAGCGTGGTGCAGGCGACACCACACCAAGGGTTACAATCCCCTTACTGGTCACACACAAAAAAAAAAAGAAGTCTCCTTTAACATCCTGCCACACCCTGTCACACTTGCGATCACATTGTGAAGCTTGGCCTTTATAGGTGATGGGGTGGGAAGGAGCTGCTGAAAATTAAACAGGAGAATGGCCAGATTGGGTTAGAAAGAGCTCACTCCAGAGGCAGTATGGGGGCCAAGATGGTAGGCAGAAACAGGGCTGTCCTCAGACTGGGCAACTGGCACAAGCACCAGGCCCCGTGTTTCAAGGGCCCCACTTTGGTCCTCCTCTGGCCATGCCCCCTCCCTATGGGGTGAGGACTCTGCAAAGCCAGGAGCCTGTGTCCACCTTCCAGATCACTCCCTAGGTGTCCAGGATTCCAAAATTCCCTGCCAAATGGCCCTGAGAATCCAAGGCCAAGAAGCAGCCAGTGGGGGCTGTTTGCAGACTGTGAACAGGCTGGGGTGCCCACACACATGCAAGTCAGAGCCAGGGCAGGCCAGGAGCCAGCGGCTTCCATTTCTCCTCTTGCCCCCAGCCCTGCAGATGTTAGGGTTTGGACCTGGGGCAGAGACACCCTTAGAGTAGTGGTTTTTCTCATCCTGGAATCACCTGGTGAGCTTTAAAAAGTACTAGAGCCTGGCTCCCAGCCACCCCCATTCTGAGTTGATTGGTCTGAGGCTGGGAGTGAGTTAGGGGTTTAAGTCTCCCCAGGTGGCACTCGTGGGTGACCAGGGTTGAGAGGCATGATGTAAAGATGGCTGCCACAGCCCAGGTCAGAGAGGATGAGGGAAGAGAGGAGGGTATGCACTGGGGAGTGGGGAGGGGTGCTCTGGGGGTCCCCAGGTTTCTGCTTGAGGTGGCCATCACGGAAGAAAGAATGTGGGGAGAGACCTGTGATTGGAGAAGTTGAGCTGAGCTGGGTCTGTACGTGAGGAGTTTGGGATGTTTTTGAGACATCTGTGGGGAGACGTCTACACGGAAGAAAGAATGTGGGGAGAGACCTGTGATTGGAGAAGTTGAGCTGAGCTGGGTCTGTATGTGAGGAGTTTGGGATGTTTTTGAGACATCTGTGGGGAGACGTCTACCAGGCAGTTGGATACGTGCTTGATCCTCAGTTCAGAGGCCTGGGCTGGAGCTAGAGCTGGGAATTACCAGCACATAAGTGGTGGCCAAGGCCACAAACTTGTTTAAGAGTGGAGGGTGTGTAGACCAAAAGGGTAGCTACAATCGTACCCCCAAACTCCACCCTCTGTCTGCAATTCTGTTCCTCTATTCCAGGGCAGGGTTAGTTTTTGCAGTGGGGGCATGTCCACAATTTGGGGGCTGGGGTCCCTAATTAGTTCATCCAGAGCAGGCTGGTTGTGGGAAGACCTAATGACAATGTGTTCTTCTTTTCCTCTCACTCACCCTTGTGCCCCCACTCCCACGCCCCTGTCCACCGCCTCTGTCCTGGCCCCATGCCCTTCTGCCCCTTTTCTCCTCCCACCGGCCCCCACTTTGCTTTGCCTGTCCCCCTTCCCTTCCTGACACCCTTCCACCACCCTCTGCCCCAAGGTGAAGGTCTGGTTCCAGAACCGCCGCACCAAGCAGAAGAAAGACCAGAGCAGAGACCTGGAGAAGCGGGCGTCCGCCTCGGCCTCTGAGGCCTTCGCCACCTCCAACATTCTGCGGCTGCTGGAGCAGGGCCGGCTGCTGTCTGTGCCCAGGGCCCCCAGCCTCCTGGCACTGACACCCGGCCTGCCAGGCCTGCCTGCTGGCCACAGGGGCACCTCCTTGGGTGACCCCAGGAACTCCTCCCCACGCCTCAACCCGCTGCCCTTGGTCTCAGCATCCCCCCCACTGCCACCCCATCTGCCAGCCATCTGCTTTTCCACGGCACCACTGCTGGACCTGCCTGCCAGCTACGAACTAGGCTCCTCTGCCTTTGAACCCTACAGCTGGCTAGAACGGAAAGTAGGCAGCCCTGGCAGTGGCAAGAAAGCTAACACTTAAGACTCCCACCCCCGTGCAACACTGAGTCCCCAAGCACAGCACCCCCCCAGCCTCCTGTGCCCCAGCAGACTGCGGACTGCACTGAGCAGGCCCTGGAGAGGAGGAGTGGCTGCCCTACGCCCCTCCATGCCTGCTGTCCAGCTCAGAGACTCTCGCCAAATGGCCTTGGTCCCGCAGCTTGTGTGTGTGAGTGCAGTGTGCGCGTGTGTGTCTCACTAAAATAAAAGGAAAACAATGACAAGAAGGGAAACAGTCCCCACAGTGCCACCACTCGTCCTCTATCCCTCTGCTCACTGGGAAGGAAAATGGATGAGTCAGGGGACCTCAAATGGGTAGGGGACAGAACTTGGGGTTATGGGGAGTTGAGGCACCCACGTGTGGGTTGACAGGCACCTGCCCCACTCCCGCCTAGTCATCCCAAGGCCCGCAGTAGCAACATCAGTGCTTTCTTTGGTTAAGCATTGTCCTTTGCAAGCTCCTCTTTCAAACAAGAGGTGAACAATGAAAGGTGAGACCAGGATCCTGAGAGAGGGAATCAAAGGTACACCCAGGCAAGACCCACGCTTAGAGAGGGCCTGCCCAACACAGGCACATGCAGCACTTAAAAAAAGTTTTTGTTTTTTTTTTTTGCTCAACAGACTTGTATTTATCTTTTTGTTTTGCAAGAATTGTAGATTTACAGTAAGTCCCAGGCAAGACCCACGCTTAGAGAGGGCCTGCCCAACACAGGCACATGCAGCACTTAAAAAGTTTTTTTTTCTTTTTTTGCTCAACAGACTTGTATTTATCTTTTTGTTTTGCAAGAATTGTAGATTTACAGTAAGCTGCAAAGATAGGACAGAGAAGTCCCTTCACCCAGTTTCCCCCCATGGTCGCACCTTCCACAGCTATAGCACAGCACCAAACCAGGAAACTGACATTGGTACCGTGTGTGTGTATAGCTCCATGTCTTTCAGTCACCCACGTGGATTTGTGGAACCACCACTGCATCAAGATGCAGAACTGTTCCATCACCACAAAGAGGTCCCTTGCAGTACTCCTTTATAGTCACACCCACCCCTGCCCCCAACAGGAGAGTTCTCTGAAAGAATGGGAAATGTGAGCAAGGGACCAGAGACCTGAAGTGGGTCTTGGGGCCAGAGGATGCTGGAGGAGATATCAATTATGTGGGCAGAAAAGACAAGCACAGTTGGCTCCAGTCTGCTCTGAGAAACACAGCAGCTGCTGCTTTGATTTCAAATAGGCTGCCCTGAATCACCCAGAGTGGGGTACTGGGAGACAGGGTCCCTCAACAACTGTGCTTTCAACCTTCCCTCTGCTTGGGTGGTAGAGTTTGGGGAGATGCTTAGAAGTGTGGGAAATCCTGAGTCTGGAATGAGGCATGGGGGTGACTGGGGCAGACCTTGGATTGAGTGGGTCTGGCCACCACCCTGCCTTGCTCAGCAGACCCATGCCACACTCCACTGGCCAGGGGAAAGCACAAGTCCTTTAGCTACCTGGCACGAAGAGGATTCCTGAGAAGCAGTGCCGAGGTCCTGGGTGGAGCACAGGCCAGGCTGGAGACAACAGATTGATTATAACTCCAAATCTTGAGGTACACAATGCATGGACCTCCATTTGTACTTTCTGTCCTGAGTTGAAAATGTCAGGGCAGACCTACTGTATGGGACCCTGGAGGTGAATATAAGAAGGTGAGACAAAGTCCCATGATCAGATGGAGAGAGACCAGCCCTGGATCTCAGGAAGCTCTCAATAGTATAAGATAGAAAGGCTTAAGGAGACCTGGGTCTGATGGAAGAGACCCAGGCTCAGCTTTTGGGGGCTCACAGCTCAGTGGCAGTGATAAGAGGGGCCTCTCCTAAAGGGCATGACATAGGAAAGAGATCAGATGTGTGGTGAAACCAGGGTGCTAGGGAAGACTTCCTGTAGGAGGTGGCACTGAATCTGTCTGGGAAGTGATGCTTTATAGATATTCAAAAAGATGATGATGGACTTGTGGGGGGGAAGAAGTAACCAGCTATAGTCAGGGCAAGAGGTGCAGGGTGCGGGCAGGTTGGGAGGACAGGGAGGACTGAGCAGCCTGGCAGAAATTGGGCATGGGGAGAAGACCAGGAAGAGATGTGGGAGGGGTGTGGGACAGTAGAGAGTGCCTGAAGTTCCAGGGGGAGGAACTGAACTCACTGCAGGTCGGGGGCAGAGGAACAGCCAAGCCCAGAGGTTAGAGAAAGCCAGCCTTCCCTCTGCCCTTCTCTCTTGCCATCCTCCAGCTTTCAGGTTCTGCACAGCCTGAGGTGGGTGGAGGGGGGTGGGGGGAAGCTTCAGAGCCAGAGCACTGGGTTTCCCTGTTTACAGTCAACCCGGGGGAGGAGAGAAGAAGGCAGTGGGAGGAGAGGGGAGGGGTGGCCGCGGGGGCAGGCTGGGCAGCTCTCACCAGCTCCAGCCAGGCCTGGAGTCTTAGAGCTGCTACCAGCAGGCTCAGGCACTCAGCTCCCAGCCCGCCACCACACCATGGCCCTGAAGGTAGACAGCAGGCCCGGGGGGCTCCCCAGCAGTGGCTACGACCTGGGTGCAGCCCAAGAACACATGCAGGCGGTCACCCGAAACTACATCACTCGCCCCCGTGTCAGTGAGTATGACTGCCCAGCGGATGAGGTCGGGGTTGGGGAGCTGGGGGGGCTGCGGGGTCCCCAGGCCCTGCTTCTTGCCTCAGAAAAAGAGAAGGACCCGAGACCTGGGGAGACCCAGCGGGCTCTGGTTCAGTGGGAGTAGTGCATTGGGGCCACCTGAACAAGGGTCCCCACTACAGGTGAAGGATGGAGGACCTGGGGAGCAGCTGTCATCACCCTGATCCTGCACTAAGACCCCAAGTCCAAAGAGGGCTTCCAGCTGCCCCTGAGTGTGCGAGTGTGTGTGTGTGTGTGTGTGTGTGTGTGTGTGAGAAAGAGAGAGAGAGAGAGAGAGAAAGGAATGTGCACCAGAACACTCAGCATGAGGAAGTGCATGATGACGTGTCCTTGGGGTGATGTGTGCAGCAATGTGGAGCATGTGAGCCTTCTCAGCATGAGGACACGGGTGCCCTGCGTGTGTCATGCTGGTGGGTGCACACCATGCATGCACTCTCGGGGAGGGTATCTGTGTGCATAGCAGGTGAGGGCGTGTGCTGGGGGGTGTGGTCCCATCTTGCAGTGGGGAAATGGGTGACTGTGTGTGTGTGCCTGCTGGAAACTCAGGGCCAAGGTGATTGTGCCTGTGTTTGTGCTTGTGTTGCTTTGTGTGTGTGTGTTTGTGCTCACAGGGAGAGCATGTCTGAGTGTGGCAGTGTGTGTGGACAGTTGAGGTGACGGCATGTCCAGGTGGGTGCTGGAGTGTACTCTTGCAGGTTTCAGAAGGGGGCAGCCCTGAATGTGTTCTTCAGGGAGTGGGCCAAGTCCACGTGCCTGGGGCAGAGAACAGAGGCAAGGTCTGGAGGACCAAAGGGAACCCCCCATCTCCTTGTCCAAGGTCACTCTCCCCAGCCTGGCGAGTTCTCAGACAGCCCTGCTCACTGGGTAAACCAGCTCACTGGAGTAAACCAGCCTGACCTGCCCCAACTAAGCAGAGCCAGAGGCTCCTAACAGGCTGTGTAGGGTGAGGGGAAGCGGGCCTGACACAGCTGTGCCTCCTCCTCCTCACCCCCCCTCTGTAGCTATCCAGTCCAATAGAGGAGGAGGAGTGAGCCGAGAGGGCAGGCCCAGGGGCAGGGAAGCGGAGCTCTGGGGCGTAGGGACACCTCCTGAGGCCTGAGGCGGTGCTGAGGGTGGAGCACATTCCAGCTGAGGAGACTCGGTGAGACAGGGTGAGGTCAGGTTTCTCAAGGAGGTCCTGCAGGCTTGTCCCGGGAAGGCGGGGAGAGGATGGGAGGTCCAGATTCTTCCTAGGCCAAAGCGGGGATCACCAAGGCCCAGGAATATTCAGTGACCGGGCCCCCCTTGGTCCAGAGCCCAGGCCTGGAGCCCTGAGCTGGGGTATCTGACTTGCCTGGCTCCATGGTGTGGTCCACACCTGCAGGCTCCCCACTCCCCGCCATAGGCACAGGAGAGCTGCTGGGTGCTGCGTGGGGTGTGGCAGTTGGACCTACATGCTCTGCTTTCCTTCTCCCTGGAATGTGCCTTCCCAGGGACTTTACCCCACAAGCCGCCTTCTCCAGACAGGACCGCCCAGGCCTGGAGCAGCCTCCAGCCTGTGTTCAACCAGCCAGTCCCTTGTTTACAGTCAACATGCCCTGGGCATGTGGGAGAACACCCTGGAGATTCTGATCTAGGCTGGACCCCAGGGGTGACAGTGCCTGCATGTTTGCACACCTATGGTGATGGTGCCTCCAGGTGGCCGCTGCCCAGGTGAATGTGTTCACATCCAACAGCTGACCCAGAGCAAAGGTCAGTGCAGGGGGAGCCCCTCCAGGCTCGGCTCCCACCAGTGCCTTTACTTTTGCTGCGTGAGAATCCTCCACCCCAGGGGCAGGCTGGATTCCCCAGGGTGCTCCTGCTCCTGCAGTGTCTCCCACTCCCCTCCTTCCTGCTTGGGTGACTGAGGGGTTCTCCCCCTGGGGGACATGGACAGGCGCAGGACCTGGGAGGGTTCGGAGACTCCCCAGAGCTGCTACCCTCAGTACATTAGAGGCAGGACTGCTGTGTCCCTTTCCACTCTCCTCCCCCAGGCTGGCCTGCTGCCCTTGGATTTGGAGCACTCCCAGGTTGGAGGACTCTGTACAGACAGAGCTTAGAGGGAGAACTGGGGGGATGGGGGGCTCCAGGGCTGGCCATGGTGGAAGTGAGTCCAAGGCAATTTGAGAAAGCTCCCCTTCTCAAGAAGGGGGACTAAACAGGCCTGAGGGACTAAGGGTGATTTCACTGCAGTGGCTGAGGGAGAGAACTATCCAGAAAGATAGTGGGGTAGAATCAGGATGGGGAATGAACCCTGTGATATCCACCCTGGAAAAGAAGTGTCCCCTTTGCCTCCCACAGAGCTAGAGTCATTCCCCAAGGGCCTTGGCTCCCTCCTGGATGGAGAAGCAGCCGCATGGAGCTTTATCTGGTCCCGAGGGGCAGCAGTGTTGGGGGGTGAACAGCACGAGCCAAGGAAGGACAAGCTGGCAGCCTGGTGGGAGGGATGGAGCCGGATCACATCACCCAGGGGCTTGAGTGCCAAACCACTGGCTTTGCTGCCTCAGTTTCCTTAATTGAAAGGGAGGAGTTAGAGAGAATCCCGCCC